GCATCCAATGAAACCTTGAATATGGCTCTAATTACTACTAGTACTTCACCCGTGCGTTGTACGGAGGTCAGTTTCAAAATGAAAAAAAAATAACAAATATCATGTAAGTGACTATCTCTTTGTAACAAATCTAATTCAAATAAAAAAAATGAAAAGAAATCAAACAAAGATAAACTTTACCTATTAATCCAGAGTCGCAACATATAAAATGCAATTAAGTATTAAAAAGAAGAAACGCGAAAAGCAAAACTCGTGTATAATACTGAAATGTTATTAACGGCGTCCAATCCGTGATGTAGACGTATACGCCACTACCGTGACAGAACGATGTGTTGAACACGAAAGGAAGAATACCCTACATATCACTAAACTAATACTAATACTAATACTAATACTAATACTAATACTAATACTAATATTAATACTAATACTAATACTGATACTAATATTAATACTAATACTAATACTAATACTAATACTAATACTAATATTAATACTAATACTAATACTAATACTAATACTAATACTAATACTAATACTAATACTAATACTAATACTAATACTAATACTAATACTAATACTAATACTAATACTAATACTAATACTAATACTAATACTAATACTAATACTAATACTAATACTAATACTAATACTAATACTAATACTAATACTAATACACATACTCATACTCATACTGATACCAGTGTTCTAAAACTCGGCCGAGGCGGCCGATTAATCGGTCTCCGAGGCGGAGGCAGTCCCAAACCTTTACGATTTTGGTGAAAATGTTTGAAAAAATGGATTTTGACCTATGAGGTGGTTTTAGGCGGGTTGAGGGCCTTGAGGCGGTCAAACCTTGGAGGCGGGCTTTGGTGGAAAAAAATGGGTCAAAAATCACTTTTTTTCTTTTTCTTTTTTAATTCAAAATAAAAGTTGGGCTTTTAATAAAAAAATGAGTTTATACTTTATTTTTTTTATGTTAATTGTTATTGTTAAAGAACCTAATGATATATACTTTCAATGATCAAGAATAAATTTAAATTCAAAACATTTGCATTTTATTTGTATTTTATAAGGATTTTATTGTATTATGAACTAATTATTATTAAAATTATATTATGTTTTTAGAATATATAAATGATGGAGATATAACCATGTTTAAACATTTTTTTATATATGTTTTGAGTATTTATAAATACTATCTAAAAATATATTATATTAAATTTTAAAAACCGATTTATTTCAGATTTATCGCCGATTAATAACCGCCGCCCCGATTAATCATGAGGCTGTGTCTAACCGCGTCTGACCCGATTTCCCGTTTTAGAACATTGACTGATACTAATCTCATACTAATACTCAAACTAAAAAAAGGCTCCGTTTGTGCCAAGATAAGACAATACTTAATTTAATGTTTGGTATCCTCAATAAATTGCCGGATCGACCCGCCAAAATTATATAATCATGGCTTATCTTGCCTTATGTTGGCTTATCTTGCCTTCTAATGGGTTTTTTTTTGGACGTTTCAAGCTCTAATAAAAATAATTGGGTCTCATTAGATTATTTAATCTTATCTTGGCTATCTTGTCTTGCCAACCAAACAAGGCCTAATACTGATACAAATACTATTACTGATACTGATACTAATACGGATACTAATGCTAATGCTAATACGAATACGAATACTAATACTAATACTAATACTGATACCGATATCGATACCTATACCCATACCGATACTAATACTAATACTAATACTAATACGAATACGAATACGGATATAAATACTAATACGAATACTAATACAATAAAAAATAATACAAATACTAATACTAATACTAATACTAATACTATTATTAATGCTAATTAATACTAATATTAATATTATTACTAATTCTAATATTTTGATACGCTAATGCTAATATATTGATCCTAATAATACTAATATTAATGCTAATGTTAATGCTAATATGCTAATTTTAATGATAATACCAATTAGAATGCTAATTATAATGTTATGATAATCCTTATTCTATTCCTAACCGTAATCGTAAGATTAATTCTAATCATAACTATAATGACAATTTTAATCCTAAAAAAATTGATTATTAATTTTCTCTAAATATTTTTTTTATAAATTAAAATTATCATTTATAACTAAAATTTAAAATAAAAATATGTTTTTACTGAATTATGTTCTTCACAAACATGTTAATGCATTTAGTAATTTCAGCGTCACACTATTTCATGAATTTTTTTTTCATTTAATAAGGGCATAAAATATAATTGATTTGATTAGGATTAAAAGTCGAGTCATGTGCCATTTATTATTTACAAGATTCGTATGTATTTATCATTTTTTTTTTGAATTTGATCAACAAACTTACCAAATAACACATTTTATTTTCATACACAGATGCAATTCAAAATAAAAAAATTCCACAAAATTTGACATCGCAAGGATGGACGTGTAAGAAGATTTATAGTTGAGGGGTGGTTGTAATTACCCAAACAGGAGGGGTTTTTTCATAATTTCACCATACCTCAGGGGTGGTTGTAATTTACCCAATAAATAATTTATATTTTTGGTACAACTTTCTTAATCATTTCCAGAAGAACAACATCTTTGTTATATACTCGCAGGTGATTAATCAACATGGACAAGTTAGCTGCATCGGCTGAGAATTCCCGTTTGTGCATTTCCTCTAAGAATGGCGTGGCCTTGTCAAGTTCTTTCTTCTTCAACAAGCAACGAATAATGACGTTGTATGTCATGCTATTCGGTGCGCAATCACTTCTCTCCATTTTTATAAGCGCATCTTTTGCCTCCCCTACAAATCCTTCTTCAGAAAGTTCCTTCTACGTGATTATCAAGTTTCAACCCTTTGGAAGGAAGTTCGTTTAAAAGCTTTTTTGCATCTTCAAGTTTCCTATCTTTGCACAAACCATTAATGAGGATACTATATGTAATTATACAAGGACTTACTCCTCTCTCTTCCATCGTCCTTAGAAACGAAAATGCTTCAGAAATCTGACGAGCCCATCTACCACAATGAGAATCGTAACATCGTTTGGCTCACAAAGTTTCAAAGTCAAAATCTTCTTGAACAATTTCTCCGCCTCAGCTACATTACCATCTAAAAAGAGCCCTTTCAAGAGGGTGTTGAATGTCGTAACATTCGGCTCGTGGCGGCGTTTGAAGAAACAGCCAAAGATAGCAAAACCAATGTCTGCGTGTTTCAAGAGGCAACAACAATTAATCAAGATGGTCATCGTGTGCTCATTCATAGGGGCAGCCCATTGACGCATTTCGTCGAACAGTTTAAGGGCAACGCAGTAATGTTTCATCTTGACAACAACTTTCAATAGTTTGGTGAATTCGATAACGGATGGCTGTGGCTGCATTCTTGCCATTTGACGAAATAAGAAAACAACATCATCTACTTCATTTATACAACTCAAATCTATTCAGCAGAATAAAGAAAAGGGATCAGCAAAATACACCGTAATGGTGAGAAGATGCTCTACAAATCAGCGTTATTTCAGTTCCTCTCATCTTTTTTTCAGTTATTTTATGAAGATAATTTTAGTGAAGAATGAAGTGGTACCTACAGAAGAAGAAAGACAAATTGCATTTCATCCCTATAATTTTCTAATTTTCGCACTTTCCCCCTCAAAATTAAAAACACAAAGGGCAAATTGCATATCACCACATGTAAATTTCTAATTTTCGCACTTTACCCCCTATTGTTTCTTAAAGTGAATGCCTCTTCAAAATATTATTCTTGTTGCACATTGTCCCGATAGCAAACTCCGATGGATTATTCATCGAAATTTA